CAAGCCCTTCAGTATCCTATTTCTTCCTTTCAGCGTGAGTGATGGTGACTGATCATGACCTCACTAAATTTTAATATCCTGAATAAATGTATGGCTTTGAGATTAACCAACACAGCTTGCTGTCTTGTTCTAGATGTGGCAATGAGGACAGCGTGATCACTCTGTTGGTTCAGCCCTAGGTATAAATCCTCCTGGCACATAAAACATCATTAAAAACTGAATGTTAAAAGGTATTTTTCAAAGGCCCCCCTTTGGGAACTCTCAAGGTAGGTGGTGGTCCACTCAACAAAGAGTGTTATATCAATACTATTGCATAGTTTCCTTTTGTACATGATGAGAGATTGACAGTGTTTTGACACTATGGATTATTATCATGACAGCACCTAAAAATGACAGCTTGGTTTATCTCCCAAACAATTTACAAACATTAATTTCAGGATCATACAAGAATGATGTGCTGTGTTTACCAGAAAATGTGAAGAATCCTTCTAAGATCAACATGCTATGAGTAATAGATTCCTTATGCAACAACCACAGAGTGTAATAAGAGGGGTGTTCCTGACAGAAATGCAACCCCTGGCAGATGTGTCTGTAGAAAGCAATGGAGCAAGGCTGGGAATCCTTTTATTTACAAGTGAGGTGTCTTTCCAGTAACAGTGGGAACACTGTAACTTGGAAATAAAAAGTACACTCAGAGACACCTTACTGGAATGTACTTTAATTTAACTTGAACTAGACTGGGAATTCATTCCCACTGCCTCTTTGATGTGGCAATAGGCAAGTGAAAGAATGTTCACAGTTTATGCATTCATCTCTGGGAGAGGCAGCCCTGAATTCCTTGTGAAAAAAAAAGCCCAACTATATTTGTACTGGGAAATCATTTTTCTTCAAACTATTATTAAATTTCCTTTCCCCAGATTTTCTGCCCATCCTATACACCCAAAGGTCTAACATGTATAGAAAACAGAGGTACTTTCATCTACTGATGGCCAGCTATATGCATTGCAATATCAGCTCCAGACGCTGAGCCTGGGTGCTTTGGAAAGAGAGGAGATACAAAACTAGTGCTCGTGAAATGACAGAGAATAGATAGCCATGACAATCACAAAAATCAAGTCGTGCTAGGCACACACGCTTGCTGTAAGTGGAGATGAGCTGTTCCCGTGACAGGGTTATCACTGGAGTCCTTACTTGTGAAGGTAAAGCCTAGAGCTGCAAAGGTAACTCCTACCTGCCTTTTCAGTACCTATGGACAATACCTTGGTGAACCGAGAGACTGCTGCGTTCCAGCTGCTGTCAAACCCTGCAGATGTCCAGATCCCTTAGGTACCTTCATGCCCCTTATGTCACATGTCTTCATAGAATGGTTTGGGTTGGAAGATACCTTAAGGGTCACCCAGTTCCAAACCCCCTGGAATGGGCAGGGACACCTTCCACTAGACCAGGTTGCTCAAAGCCCTGTCCAACCTGGCCTTGAACACTGCCAGGGATGGAGAATCACAACTTCTCTGGGCTAAATATTCCAATTTCTCAACATCCTCATAGTAAAGATATTTTTCTTAATATCTAATCTGAATCTCCCCTCTTTCAGTTTAAGTAATTTCCCTCTGTCCTATCACTACTTACTCTTACAAGAAGTCCCTCTCCAGATTTCTTGTAGGTTTCCTTTAGGTACTGGAAAAGCTGCTATAAGGTCTCCCTGGAGCTTTGCTTTTTGCTGTCCATGTTGCTGACAAGACATTAAACAGCACCAATCCCAATACTGACCTGTGAGGAGCACCACTTGTCACTGGTCTCCACTTGGTCATTCAGCTGTTGACTGCAACTCTGAATGCAACCATTCAGCCAATTCCTTATCCACCAAATGGTCCATCTGTCAAATGCATGCCTCTCCAGTTTAGAGACAAAGATGCCATGCAGGACAGTGTCAAATACTTTGCACAAGCCCAAGCAGGTTGTGTCAGTGACGTCTTGCTTCATTTCAGGTGACACAAAGGCACCTTCATGCAAAAGCCATCACGTAAAAACCTCTAGGAAATTTCTGGTGTTTTCTGTATTTTCAGCCAGTGCATCCATTCATAGTAGCTATCCCATCTCCTCCTGTTCCAGTTCACAGGGTGGAAAATAGGGATGTCCTACGCAAGCGGTAGACCAGGCTTAGTCTTCAGGAGGATTTCAGCCTCAGGAATTAAAGATGGAGAAGGTGCCATCTCTGACCAAGTAACTCATACCACTGCGTCAAGACCTGCTTTTTGCTTCACTTCACTCTTTGCTTAGGTGCACACTCAAGTCTGTTCTGGAAACTCTTTATTGCATATGTGTGTGCCCCCTTTTATTACACAGGGGCACCAGGCACTGCTTCCAGACTCAAGGGTAAGCAGGAGAGACTGTGTAGTGCCCATGAATCTGCACCAATTGCATTTGCTGTCATGTCATCCAATGCACACACCTTACTTTTTGCACCTGATGTGACACTAAATGTGCAGTGATCAACTTTTCCAGGTCCAGTGGCAGGGAGGGCTAAGATTCTCAATGGATGCCTGCCCAGACCTACATCCCAGTACAACATATATGCCCACATGATGTAGACCCAACATATGGAAACATTAACCTGACCCTGAGCAAATGGTAGGGCAGAGGCCTCCCCTTGCCTGCAGCCCTAGTTACTGCCTGGATCTGATGAGTACCCAAGGAAATAAAGGTGGCAGGAACAAGTTGCCCCTGTCTTTCCCCAAAATCTCATGGGGGTTGAAGAGAAGTTCATGTTCATACAGGAAGCCTTTATTACCATGCCCAGGTATGACTGATACTCATCTTGGGGGATGTCTGATAATATGATGTTGTGGTCCCCCCACAGCAAATGCCTCAAATAACCTGTCTTGCAGTAGCCCACCTGAGCACCTCAGGCAGCACACTCAAGAACTGTTTCTAATACTGCCTTTGCCCCCAGTCTGTCAGTGCTACTTCATATTACCTGGAGAACCTGACATAGGCAGACCTTAGGCTTATGTACAACAGACAGAAAATAAGGTAATTTAAAATATTACAACACAGAACCAATTTTAACCTAGCAGTGTCTTAAGGTAGCAGCAGGGATACACGTTGTTCAATGTCTTGCTTTTCCATGCGTCCCCCTCCCTCTATATCCCAGGCTGCTCCATTACTTTCTTTGTCTGAAAAAAAATCATACAAAGCAAGAGGATTTCAGATTTCTGCTCAGTGGGCTCTCAATGACCTTCAACTGCTCTCTGGTGTTTTGGTGAGAGGTCTGAAAGCAGCCTTGTCTAGTGGAAAGAGTCCCTGACCATGGCAGGGAACCATGACCATGGAACTACCTGATCTTCAAGGTCTCTTCTAACCCAAACCATTCTATGATGATATGATTCTATGAACCAAAGCTCAACACTGTACTTCCACAGGGGAGCACTCAGGCTGTGATGCTACCCAGAGGACAGCAGGACAGAGGAGGGCAGTTACAAACCTGCAGTTTCACCAAAGGCAGAGCAGAATAAAAAAGAATAAAACCCTTCCTTCTTCAAGTTCTGGCTGCCACCCATAAATTATTAACCTTGATGATTAAATTAATATTTAAAAGAGAGCACTAAAGCAGGAAACATGGACTAGTTGTTGAAGCACTGCTTCCTCATTGCACTTCCCCTTCTTTCCCCCAGTGCCAGCCCTGCTTTACTGAGTGCTGGGTTCCTCGTGGAACACTTTGGTGTGCGCATGCAGGAAGGGAGGTCAGGATTGTTTTGGCACTTTCAGCTGCGTGTATCCCAGATAGCAGCAGCTGAATTTTATCAGTTGGTTTAGCCTTTGCTCTGCAAGAGATGCACTATTATTTCACTCCTCTTGAGAAATAATACTTAAGTCGGCAATAGAAAAAAGATCGTGCATGTCAGGTCCAGGGGGAAGTCCAGGGAAAGGAGAAACCCAGGGAAGGGAGACGTCCAGGGAAAGGAAAAGCCCAGAGAGGGAGAAGCCCAGAGAAGGCAGAAGCCCAGGGAGGGAGAAGCAATGCCGGGCAATGCCGGCCGGCGCCCGGGCTCAGCCCTGCGGCGAGCGCCCTCGTGTGCCCGCCGCGCCCGCCGCGGGTGGGCACCGCGACACGGGTCCCGCCGTACCCCCAGGGCCTCCGCTCCCTTGGGTCCCCGCGAAGAGGGGAGTCTGAGACGGGAGCATCTTAACAAGCCCTCCAACAGGAGGAGCTGGCATCAAAGCATCACTGTGAGAGAGGACACCAGCAGCTCGCCCCTGCCTTGTGTCTGGGCAAAGGAAACACAATTAAGTCATGGATAAGCCATCCAAATAAAGCGCTAAGACATCCCATTCTCCACTGCTAAGGAATGAACCAAAAAGTATCTTGCTCTGCTTACAAACCTGGAGCTGTGAAGGGTATCTACCCAAGAAGACGGGCTTAATAGATGAATTTAGTTACAGTAAGGTTCATTTTCATTCACACCTCAGCACCAGTCTCAGTGCCAGTGGCTTTGTTTGCAGAATAAGAACACAGGTTGTGATTATTTACCTCAGTTCACTTGAATTTGTTCACCTTGAATGAGATTTCTTCCATCTAGACGTAGACTTGACAGCACACCCGTTGGCAGAAAAAGGAATGAATTTTTGTTCTTATTAGCAGCTTTCATAGTAAAATCACAGCAAGACAAACACAAACCCCAGATATGAAATATAAATAACAAACAATGCCCAGATTGGAAACTTTCTAGAGATTACATTAGACCCTGGAACAGGGCCCCTGACTCTGTCAAAGGAGTGTTATCTTGAGATTGTCAATGCATGCTTCAGGGTAAGAGTGACTTTGTCCCCAGGGACCCAAGGGAACATAACAAGTGACATCAGTCATATTTTGGAGACTGCAGAGCCTAGTGTCATTAAATGTCAACTAAATCTCTGTACATGGCTCTCTTCAAAGAGTCATTCCTGAAGTGCTGAAAGGTGAGAGGGGCTAACTAAGCCTATTAAAGAAACATTTACTAAGTCGGGGAAGGACACGATGATCTGCAGACCAGGTATATACCAATCTATTTTGTTTTCCTTTAGTTTCCATCAAGACCAAAGTGGGTGGGAAAAAATGCCTCTCTACCAGAGGTAGGACATTAGCTGACGAAAGGCAGGAGGCTTATGCCAAAGCAATAGCCATTTCTTTTCCCCCTAGAGCTGATGTTCTGTCTGTTCCACCTCGGCATTCCTCACGAAGCCAGAGACAACACTCCAGTCTGCCCAAACATAAAAATAAAACACCAGACAGGCTTCTTTGGGAAAAGCAAAGTTACATGTGAAAGAGGAATTGCAACTGGAATTTACAGGAATGCTAGCAGTTATGCCATCAGGTCAAATCCTGATCCTATTTGCTTTATTGTAAATAAAGAGTGGTCCCAGGGACATGCCAGCTACAGCAGCTCCTTATTAGGCCCTTTATGCATATGTCTGAGCTTTTCAGAAATAATTAAGTTGAGAGACATTTTATGGTATTGAAAACAAACCTTTGTATTTTTTTGGTGAAACCAGTGTTTTTCCTTTTGCAGAAGCTGACTCATGTAAAAAGTATCCACGAAGGAATCATGCAAATATACTGGGATACAAATAGACTGGGCTTTGTCAATCAGCCCCCTGTCAGTTGCAGGCGGGACAACATTCTGCTTTGGTGTAAGTCGATGGCTTAGTTTTGAGCACCACGGAGGGCTGGAGGCAGAGGTGCTCTTGCAGGTCTAGCTGAAGCAGCTAAAGAAGCCATTATCCACTGTCCCTGCACCAGGGGTTATCGTTATCACAGCAGGGTCTGATTGTGCCAATGGAAATCACATCCCAGCAGAGCCACCAGTGTGGCTCAATTCACCTTCTGCAGCACCTCAGTGACTTCGCTGACTTTGCACTGAGGCTGATTAGCTCACTAAGTCCATTCGCTTGGCTCAGCTGAGGACATGGTAACCTCACACCCAAAGAAGAGATAGGCAGTAGCATCTAAAATTAGGAAACCCCCTTTCTGAAAAGATCATGAGTCTGAGCTTTGAGGGAAGAATTTGCACATGGCATCCTTATCTGGGATCTGAGTTTAAGGCTGTTTGTATCTTGGGTGTTGGTTCAGTTCATTATGAAGATAAGTCCAAGCTGTGAATTTTGAACCAGGACCAAATTTATCGATGGTTTGAAAGTGTTTGGCTCCATCGTTTTGGGAAGGGCCTGTCACTGCTACTAGGTCTATTAACCCGAAGAGTGGATATTGACATAATAAAAAGAGAGATTAACATTAGGAAGTTACCTTAACTGCCTCAGGCTGAACCCCCAACACTTTCCAGAGTCTCTAATTTATGAAGAAAGAAGAAATAGTAAAACATAAACAATAACTGAAACACATCCAACATTTCAGTCAGCACAGTGCACTTATTACGTAGCTGCTATAAATATATTCTGCTAACACAGGAAGTCTGGGGCAAGAACAAGAGCAATCTCAATTAGCTATACTTGTTACAGTTATGAGACATTTGACAAAATATTGTTTGATATTTGGAAGTATATAATTATAAACAGAAGAACTCTATCAAAACTGCTTGTTTAGTAAAATGAATGTGATGGCAAAAAGCATGTTCCGTATATATTGATTTATGTGTGTGTATCTGTGGCAACACCACTCCACATGGTTGAGGTATAAACTATAGATTATACAACTTCAGGTGACCCAAAATAGGAAAATGATAAGAGACAACAGAAGTACTGAGAGAGAAAGCAGAAAATATTGAGAGATGGAAGCCAGATGCAGCCCTGTGGAAATAAGAGGTAGGTTTGACCCTTGGAGTCATCATTTCAAATGGCCCTTCATGCTTGGGCCTATGGCAAGTGAGCTCTTTGGGCCAGCAGTGTGGATGTTCTTTGGAGACATTAATAGAAGATTTGGCTTCTTGTGATAAACACTTGAAAAGTTTGGCCTCAAGCCTACAAATGTTAAGCAAGGGCAAAAAAGTTATAAATGTAAAACGTGTTCTTGAGCCTACTGAATTCCATCAGACTTTATCAACATCATCCATCTTTTGTTCAGGCTTAGAGATAATTGTAATTATTATAATTATTGACGAGAATTTAATATCTGATGTTTTACAAGTGCATCTGATCTTTTTGCTGTGTTTCAGCCTTGATTCTTCTTCTAGGGATAACTTTGTTATACAGTCACTTGTTTCTCTTGGTTGACAAAAAAAATCAGCTATTGGATACACTCCAGACTACGCTCTTTATCGTGTTCATTTTACACATACACTGACATCATCTAAACTAGGTAGGCAAGTGTTTGGCTTCATTTTAAGAAACGTTAAAGTGTTAAAATGCAGCTGAAACTGAAAGTATCCAGACTGGTTATTTCTTGAGAGTTCAACAGTGGGTAAAAACATGAACATGAACTGTGTGAAATAGTTAGCAAAATGGAAATCTTAGAGTCTGAAGAGGAATAAGGTAGCAAACCCTACTAATCTCCAGTAATACTTGCTTCCCAGGACCATAATACTTGAGCTTTAAACTTTTATCCTCTCAACATGCCTAGGAGGTAGGTGAATAGAAGGAGTGCATTTTCCAGGTCTCGGGATCTGCCCATGGTATTTGTGGTTAGGAGGTGGTTGAACCCTGGTCTCCAAAGCCCCCAGGCAAGGTCTCATCCCAGGCTGGGCTGCTCTTAAAGGACACAGGCTCTGCACTGAGAGCCCTGAAAGAAGCAAAAGCTGCATCTTACTGCTTCTTTTCACTTTAGGTTAAAGCTCAGGGAGAAGGAGTTTGCAGAGTAGGGCATGACCAAGGTGAGGCATTATGGAAGAAGAACTGTTGGAAAGCTGAGAGAAAACCTCACATAAGTATATAATATTTTTCTTTATGTTTTCCCCATCTGCATTTGAAGCAGGTCTGAGTGTTTCAGTCCTCTACACACAGAGCTCTCCCCATGCTGCACTTTCCTCCACAGTGATTTACAGACTGCTCTCCTCTACTTCATTCTCCTTCTTGGAGAGATTGCCAGTCCTGTCAGCATTATCCTCACCGACACCTTGCTCTGGAAATATTTCAGGATCAGACATGCTTTCCTTGCTTTCACTGCCTATATTTCTGGAAGGGCCATCAACCAGACAATGTTTTGCACCCGAGTCTGATGCCAGTGCCAGAACAGGGATGAGTTAGCAGCCACTTAGTCTGCAGAGTCTAGTACCAGCCTCACTCCACAAACAGTAGCAAACCTGAAAATCCAGGGAAACAGGAAGCCTCTTGAAGTTCAAACCTTTCCCTTATTCAGACCTTCTGGCTGCAGTTGCTGATGGAAAGGAATTTGCAGCGGGAGTTGCAGATCAACCTGAATCTCCAACTAAATATAGCCTTGCAGTGGTGGAGGGAAGAAGGGGAAATATGGTGGGGTGGGGGAGAGCCAGAACAACTATTTTGACACACAAAACCTATGTGGAGAGTAGTTAGGCATAATTAATTAATGATGAGTTTTCAACAGCAGTGTTTGTGTGTTTAAATTCTAAGTAGAGCAAATTTGAAACAAGAGAGATTCTGTGTTCAAAAGGCATGTTACAAGGCTGCGCATGTTAGAAAAAGAGAACACGTGAAAGTACCAAATATTACTCACTGAACGAAAATAGAGTGAGTCATGATATTAAACAACCCTACAAACAAAAGTTGCAAAATGCCTGGGAAGGCTTAACTAATTCAGTTATATTCCAGTTAATGTGGTCTTCCTCTAGCAGGCTTGAAGAACTAATGGGATGCCAATGGGACTTCAGTGTGTACTGCGGAGGAAGAGCACGTAATACAAGGGCTAAATGCGTGTGATAATGTCATCTCTTCCCCAGACGACCTGAAACATTTGAATAAGATGCTTTCAGCTTCCTCATCCCCTACTGACAAATGTGCTTTGGGAGGAGATGTAGCCAAAATCATGGATTTCCTGCAAATCGGGGGCAGAAACAGGCTCCAGGGAAGACAGAAGGAGTCAGGATTTTCATCTTAGCTTGTATCAAAAGAATCAGGAACATAAACACAGTTTTCGTTTTAGAAAAATAACAGAGTACCACCTGAAATTGTCTTGCAAAGGTGTGATTTATGATTGATGGCCACCTGGACAGGGCTCAGCTCTGTCCTATCCTCTGCATCAATTGGAGCTACTTCCAGTGTCACTGAAGCATTTTTAGGGTGCTCAGAGGGTAGTGAAGTTCTCTATGAAGTCTGAGCCTGGGATGGCACAGTTTCAGTGTTGAAAGACCTCCACATTCCCAGGAGTTTTCACTGCTTCTTTTAGGGTATCTTCATATGTCTTCTCCCCTATCAAACTGTGTCCTCTGGAGTTGTGGGATATTCATTCTGGGAGAGGTTTTAGTATACTGGTTGGGAGAACGCTAAAGTCCAAAGTTTCTGAAACGCAGACCATGCCTTGACAAGTACGTGAGTGCTAACAGGCACTTTAATCTCTATCATTTCCATGCCCTTAGGACAAGGAAAGCTCCCTCAGGCACCACAGGAGTCTAGGTGACTTGGAAGGTGAATTTTAAAGGCTTGAGCTAGTAGTGGTGGGTCAAACTCAGAACCAGCAGGACTTGCGCATTGCTTCAGGTTGTGCATTGCTTCAGCAGTCTAGCTTGTCTTCTGCATGTCACACAAATGTAAACTTTGACACCGGTGGGGTATATGATGGGTTTTACACTGGAATTGAGACTGACAACATTTCCAGTGCCAGAAACTACAGGTCTGAAGTTCTACCTTATGCAAGTAATTTTGCTGGCAATGTGATCCTCAGTATCTACTACCGCAAACTGGTTAATGTGAGGCTCAGCTTGACACAGTGGTATGAAATATAGCAAAGGTGACAAAGTTATCTCTGCTCTTGTTTATTGCCTGAATCCAGTTCCAGTGTTTATAAGACAAAGAACAGTATTCCACTAGCAGAAGTAAAAAAAAAACCAACAAAAACCCCAGAAAAAAGAGCGATTTAATTCAGTAGGGCATATGAATAATACTTGAAAAGACAAATACTGTTTGGTTTAGTTAATATATTGCTCATTAGTGAGCCACAATACAGACATTTTTTAAAAGACTGCAATCACCGTGACGACCTGATAACATTCAGTCACATCATTTCCGAATATGATTATCCTCCTGAAAAACTTTTCTTTTCTGTGAAAACAGAGGGCAGATTTCAAGTCTGTGGTCTGTTCTTGAGATAACCTATTAGTTCCTTCTTTGAAAAGCACTGCAATACAGTGGGAAAATGCAAGAAGTGAAAAAGGATATAAACGGAAGAGGGGGATGTGTGTTAAAATTGTAACCCCAAGTTCAAGGGAAATATTGCTTTCCTACATTGTAAAACTCATACAGAGGGGATGATTTGCACTTGTAATTTAGACTGTAGGTTTTACTTCTAATAGGATCTTCATCATGGTGCCATGATTTCACAGTGGGGATAGGGGTTCATCAGGTGGATGTCACTGCAGGACCAAAAGGAGATGAAGACCATCATAGGAGATGGAGATAAAGACCATCATAGGAGATGGCGATAAAGACCGTCATAGGAGATGGAGATAAAGGATGCTCATCCTTGCAGTCCTTCAGTAGCACAGCAGTGAAACTGGCTGCTAGTGCCAACTTGTGAGGTGCTTTTGGTCAGCCTATGGGCAGGACTC